TGAATTTTTCTTAAGGGTGTCCCCACATATGTACCCCAGAGCTAAAAAATGTCCGTGTACTTGTGTTTCTCTATGTGTATTCATAATAATATTCATCTTTTCATTTTGCAAGTCAGGGACATTCAGGTCTTTTATTTATTTATTTATTTATTTATTTATTCATTTTATTTCTAACAGGGCCTTATGCATACCAGGCAAGCACTGTACCCCTGATCCTCAACACAAGCACATCTTCTTTTTTTTTTTTTTTTGGTACCCGGGATCAAGCTCGGGTCCTTGCGCTTGCATAGCAACTAATAATTTTTATTCACATTCCTAACAGCAGGAACTACCGTTGTAGAGGCTCATTTCATTGTAAGGCAGATCATGATTCACAAATATCTTTGAAATCTAAGACATATTGAACAGTTTAAAGAATTATTTCAAAACATATTTAAAAACTGACAGTCCTGGGCCAGGGATTTATTTAGCTCAGTAATTTCACCGCCTGCCTCACAAGCGCAAGGACCCGAGTTCTATCCCCAGTACCAAAAACAAAAACAAAAAATAAATAAAAAAATAAAAACTGAAAGTCCAAATAAATCACTACATAAATAAGAGTCTCATTTTCAACAACATATAAATGACATTCTCCCATTCTTTTATATTAATAGAAAACCTACAAACTCGAAAAGACAAGAATTCTAATTTACCAAGACAAGCTTTGATAATTTCACAAGACCTTTCTTTAATGGGATCACAGAAAGTGCTAGAGCTGCAGAAAACCTGTGCCAGTTTTCAGAAGCAATGTTACCAGGTTTCCTCAAAACATCACTAGATGCTATCCTTAGGAAAACAACAGTGGGTTAAATACAAGACTGGCTTGATGAAAAATCGAAGTTACTACTAAGGCACTGGGAGAGAAAATGAGAATGTGAGCTATAAGTCAGCAAAAGGCCCACATTAGTTGACTGAGACTTAATCACCAAATTGTCTGATCAACATGTAAACAATTAACAGATAAAGAAACAATCATTTCAGGTAGTGATAAGTACTAAGAAGAGAATGAGCCAAGATGAAGTGACTGCACTTGGTGGGAAGAAAGAAGTACTTTAGGTGGGTCGGCGAGCAGGAAAGACCTCTTTCAGGAGAGAAATCTGCTGCTCGGAGTCCCAAGATGAGGAGTCAGCTGTGCCAAGATCTGGAAGAGGATGCTTCTAGGCCAAGTGAAAACAAGCAGAGGCTGCCAGAGGAAGGCGAGGCACCATGAGAAGCAGAGATAAAGCCAGCATGGTAGAGGAAGTCCCAAAAGAAGAAGGGATGGAGCCAAATGATGATGCAAGGCTGCAGAGGAATTTTGATTTTAGTCTAAGAAAGAAGTTGATATTCATTGCTGAGAGTAGTACATATGTAAACCATAATCTGTGCTTAATCAAACAAGTCCTAAGCAAGAAACTGCACTACTGAAAATGTATGGGTCCATGCTAGCCTGAATGGACAGTGTGGCTGGATACATGAAGGCCATTAAACAGCCAATTTTACAATCTTGCATGAGAAAACTTTACAATCTCAAGCAAAATTCCTTCCATGAAATCCTTCAGTCATTTACTTTCCTGGCCCCATGAACACCTGCTCTGAGGTTTTACAACTGTTGTAATTCTAAGGCTAACTTTTAATGATGGAAGTCATCTTGCTTTAAGCAAGGACATATTTACTCTTTTCTTATATTTCATCAGGGCCTTTTCCTTTGTTTGAGGTTTTGACCAAATGTCATTTCTTCCTCGAATGATTTTTAAAAAGGTAACTTTTGGTTCTGTGAACAGTGTGTCCACTGCATAATTATGTTTATAATCAAGAAAAAAAATAATTCCCCGGGAAAAATACTAAGAGCAAATTCCCACAGATGATACTTGAAACAAATACAGTGAAGTATTAAAGATGATGCAGCTACATAAAAGACTATCAAAGATGATGACTGAAAAATTTCACCTTAAATCAAAACCGTATGAGGGCTATATTTTATTGACCTTAGTCTGGAGGCTGACTACTGCTGACTTTGCCAACTACAGCAACAATTTGTAATCTTTTAGTTCAGAGAACCCTCTCCACATAAGTGAAGAAATGACATAGAGTGGACCCTCAAGTTACAACAGTCCTGACAATTTGGGTTAATTAGGTTAATGGAAGAATCATCTGCTCCTTGTTATCTATAGCATGCATCCAGGGAAACATCCAGATCTCAGCTGTACTGACTTACAACCAATTTGAGATGCCACCAGTCCTCAGGAACCAAAGTGATGGAGTTCTTAAGGCAAGGGTCCACTGTATATCTTACTTCATGCCTGTCTCTCTCTCTCTCTCTCTCTCTCTGACACACATAAGATTTTCATTTTATTCCAATCCCAAGAAAAGCAAAAATGCTGGTAGTCACTCATAAAACTGATTTCACAAAATTGAGACCAGCAGTTTGAAAGATATTGAGCTAAGGTGTTACCCCACAGGAAAGACTAGGAACTTCTTGCCTCGATAGTTTTCATAGTTCAGCATTCCACTAAAAGAAAAGAGAACTGAAGCACTGTTTTTAGAAAGATGAGGAACAGGCTGGATCCAGGATCAGATGACCAGTCAAGGTTTTGTCTTAAGGAATGAGTTAACTGCTTCTGTGTGCTGGGCAAACCCCTTTCCAGCCTCTGCAAGGGAGTTGGGGGTAAATGTTCCAAAGGTCATAAATTTCAGAACTTTAAGGTATCTGGAGCAAAATGAACTCATGGGAAAGAATAAAGTCACATGACAACACCCATGGACTGCTGACAGTATTTGATTCTTCAGCCAAGCACTTAATTAGGCTAACTGAATTTTGATTGTCAGGCAAAAACAACAACAACAAAACTCCGAACGAATAGTTCGACAGCTTACCTACCACATTAGTTCATTTCAGCACTTACACTGATACCAGGCACAGGCATTATACACACAGCCACAAATGCAGAAGTGGCCTAGGTCCTTTATAAAAGGGGCTGAACTTGGCCTCTGATCTTCTACTCCTAAAGAAAAGCAATTAAGGCTTGCGTGCTCTTTCCAGGACCTGCTCCCCATTGGTTTAACACAGTTTAACTGGCGTCCACATGTTTATCTCAGGATGTGAACAAAAATTTTGCAAGCCGTAAAGTCCAGACTAAGAAGAACAGTGCAGTGCCTGAATCATCCCAGAAAACGAAACAGAGTCCTGGGCCCATCAAACCAGCATAAAGGGCCTTGAGCAGCAGGGAAAACCAAACCCACCAAGGGTCAAGGCAGCCGGGGGAGGAAAGGAGAGAGCGGGGAAATCGGGAAACAACAAGCCAGAAGCCTTCGAGGCGGCCAGGGAGGTGGAGGGGCGGGGCAGAAAGAGAAGAGTTACCATGCCGCCGAGCACTTCGTCCTGGTCGTCGGTAAGGAGCAGCACCACATTGGGCCTCCGAGAGCCTGCGGCCAGCCCAGGAGCCCCCAGGCAACCGCTCAACAGCAGAAGCAGCAGCGGCGCTGGGCTACAGGCGGGCAGGAGGCGGAGACTGTCCCGCCCGGGCCCACCTGAAGCCACAGGGAGAAGCCGCATGGCTGACAATGCTCCGGGGATAACCCGGAGAGGGTGAAGAGACCCGCCGGTGACCGAAGGGTCAGAGCCCGAAGAGCTGCCTTGTGAAAAGACTGCGCCGAGAAGGCCCGGCGCTGGGGTCAGACCTCAGTCCCCGGGCGATCACGATCACGTGAGCCCGAGGCACGAGGGCGGGGGGCACGTCGCACCGTCACGTGACTGACAGTGGGTGGGGCATCGGGCGGGGCCGCTCAGGGAGCAGCCCAGCGGGAAACACAGGGCAGCGGCCGGCCGGAAAGGGCCGAAGACAAGAGGGTGGCGTTCCGGTAGGACCTGTTTCTAAGCGCTTGTTGGAGAGATTAAATTAGAAGAAAGAGAAGATGAAAAGCAGGAGGGAGTCAGCAAACACTAAGCGATTAAGAAAATGAGAGGAGGAATGTACTTGTCATATACAAATTGTGGAAGCACTTTTGGAACCTCCCTCGCATATATAACTACGTAGTTTAGTATGCAAAGAAAATAAACCTTCAATTTTTAATTTTGACTTGTCAAAAATATATTTCAGAAGTCTTAAATTTTTGTTGATCCTATGTTTCAAGGCTTGAAAACTTTTGTAATGGACAGACTATTTCATTCGACTTTTCAAGGAAAATTCCAATTTGACAAATACGTTTAAAATAGTCCATGTAGTAGTTGAGACTGAAAATACACAAATATTGCAAATGCGAAATATTGATGTAGTTAACAACTTCAGGTACTTCAAGTTGAGCCTTTTCTCTCACAAAATTAAGGTAATGAGCTAAGTTTGACTTCTGCAAAATTGTTAAAGAGCAGGCATCCCTTTGTCCTTATTACCATGAGAGCTATGTTGACATATGACTGATTGTAAATGTTATTCAACTGTATGTGGAGAGACCCAAGTCTTGTTTTACTTTGTTAAAGTCTCAGACAAATGTCTTCATTTCGCTAAAAAAAAAGTTTAAAATTACTATTAGAACCTGTCATGGTGACACACACCTGTCATCCCAACACTCTTTGAGGCTGAGGTAGGAGGATCACAAATTTGAGCCCAGCCTGGGCTACGTAGTGATGTAGTGAGACTCTGTCTCAAATTTAAAAATAAAAAGGGCTGGGGATATAGTTCAGTGTGAAGGCCCTCAGTTCAATCCCTAGTAGTGAAAATACAAATTACTATTAAGGTTTCCTGTGACAAGAGTAGCTCACACTAATTGCCAATTCATCCGTGGTCATCATATCCGGAATAGAGTATATATCACTTGGTATTTTTTTATGTATTTGACTTTTCACTTTTTGAATGTATTTTCTCCTTACAATTTTTTTTTTGGTGGAGGGTGGGAGGAGTGTCGAGACAGGGTCTCGCTTTGTAGTTCAGGCTGGCCTTGAACTCACTGTGTATCCCAGACTGGCCTTCAACGGTGGCAGTCCTCCTGCCTTAGCCTCTTGGGTGCTGAGATTTGCAGGAGTGCACCACCATGGCCAGCTCCTTTCAATTTTTTAAAATAAATTATTTTAGTAAATAGGTTGTTTTCATTTTGACATTTTTTTTCTAAGAGCTTAAGCAAAAAAATGGATAAAAACCAGTTGAAAAACTCATGAAATTTTTATTATAGCATTAACACTGCTTCTCATTTGATCTTCGAGGTATAAGTCTCTTTCACTTAAACATTTAATAGCTTTATAACCTCCACCATCTCTGGCCATGATGGAATAACAGTGCCAGATTAACCCTCCTACTAAAACACCTACAAAACAGGGCAAAATACATATATATTTTCATACAGGGACAATGGTCATTACAGGATTATCATCTGTGTTTAAAGGGAATAAATAGTTGCCCCAGTTTTTGGTCTGAAGGCTCATTCTGAATCAGAGAGCAAGAAGGAGGATCCAGGCAGAACAAAGTGTTCTTGCTGATGATATTGAGGGGTAGCCGAGATCCAGGTGGAAGACGGCTGAGGCAGATGGAAGTTACAGCGGGGAGCACCAAAGAGGAAGGTGGTATATAGGTAAAAGTTCAAAAATCTGCATAGATGTTCTCTTGAAACTTCTGAACACTGAGATATGCATTCAAAGGACAATACTCCATAAGGCAAGGTCAGAGTTTGAAGATGTTTGAGATTCAACCAACCAGAGAGAGTCCTCCTTGATGAACAGGTACACTCAGTTAAGCAACTGGAAAGGTCATGTTTTGGTAGAAAGGCTAAACTATCATTATCTACTCGACAATTAAAATAACAGAGCTTAAATACAATCTTGTAAATATCAAGCTGATCTGCAAGTAATTTAACTTGCCTTCCAGAGCAAATCCCGTCACTCTTTAAGACTACAAAATTTAGATACATGATAATACGAAATTTATTCATGACTGGTAACCAGGAGCAAAATTTATCAATATAACCAAATGGATAATAGAGATGCAGAAATTAACAATTCAGATGCTAAAGTATCTATTATACCACGTTCAAGTATTTAAAGGAAAATATAACCCTAATGAGAAGTGGAAGATATTTTTTAAAAAATGGAACTGATGGGCCAGGGATTTAGCTCAGTGGTTCTGCCACCTGCCTCACAAGCCAAAGGACCCGAATTCGATCCCCAGTACCAAAAACAAAAACAAAATGGAACTGATATCTGAAAAATATTTACTGCACAAATTAACAGATTAGAGAATATTGAGGTTGAGGATAAGTCAACTTGAAGGTGCAGCAATAGAAAATTCTCCAAATAGAGCTAAGAGAAAAAATATGAAAATAAAATGAACACAGCCTCTGCAACCTGTAAGACAATAATCAAGTAGTCTACCAATCATAGAGTTCTTTATGGAAGAAATAATTTTATTAAATCAATAATTTAAAATATGTGTAGCCAAGTGTGGTGGTACACACCTATGATCCCCAGCTACTTGGGAGGCTGAGACATAAGAATTGCAAGTTTGAGGCCATGCTGGGCAACTTAGTGAGATACTATCTCAAAATTAAAAGACGTAGGGATGGCTGGGGATTTAGCTCAGTGGTTCCGCCACCTGCCTCGAAAGCTCAAGGTCCAGAGTTCGATCCCTGTTACCTGCCCCCCGCAAAAAAAGACCTGGCAATATAGTTCAGCACTCCTTGAATTCAATCCCAGAACTGAAAAAGAAATTTAAATTTGGAGAAAACTGATCTCATGCCCAAGAAACTCAATGAATTCCATGCAGAATGAAGAATAAACAAAGACATGAACAACTAACATCCTACTTCACGGTGAAAGACCAAATGCCATCTTTCTCACCCAGTAACAAGGATGTTTGTCCTCAACATTGCTATTCAACATTATATTGTAGGTTCTAGATAGTTCAATATACAAAAAAGAGAAATAGTCAAAGAGATCCACAGATGGGTACGTTGTCATAAAAAATGCTGAAAGGCAAAAAAGAACACCTTGAAACTTCAAGAGAACTATGGCTTATCACTTACAAAGGAACTCCAGTGAAATCAACAGATTATTTCTCATTGGAAATAGTAGAGGTCGGAAGGTAGGATAAACATACTCAATGGGCTCAAAGAAAAACTGTCATCCAAGAATCCTATACCCAATAAAAATATCTATAAAAAATGAAGGTGAATTAAAATCATTCTTCAGTCCAAGTACTAATGAGGCCCAACTCTACTTAGCTTCCAAGAGATTGGGTACATTCAGGGTGGTATGGCCATAGACATTTTCAAATAAACCAAATTTGTGGCTAACAGCACTGTCTTACAAGAAGTCCTTTGGCTGAAAGTGGTTCCAGCCAGAAAAAGTAAAAAGCACTGTTAAATATAATTGTGCAATTATAAAAGACTCTATAAATGCTATTGCTTAGTATTTTAATTGATTGAGCAGTTTTGTAAGATAATATGCATATAGTGTATTGTTAGGGCTGCAACATGGAAATATATTTGCCATTAACAGCACGAAAGTGATTGATGGGTTTGCAAAAGAGATTGATGCAGATTTGCATTGGGCTCAAAATTACTGTAGATGATAATTCAAATCCATGGGGACTGGTGAAAAAAATCAGAAATCATAAATTAAGAGATTGTTATAATACAAGCTCTAAATATATACTTGTTCTCTTAGCTGCCATAAAATACACACAATTACAGGAAGTAATGATTATAACAATGTACTATAACATTTATAGATATAACATGTATAACAATACCATAAAAGGGGTAAGGAAATAGAGATATATAGGAGTAATATTTCTGTAACTCACTGAAATTAAGTTAGTATAAATCTGAAGCTGTTCCTGCTAATTTGGATATGGTAAGATCTAGAGCAATCACTAAGACAAGAACTTCAAAAATCCCCAGAAAACATTGAAAAAACATTAAAGAAATTAAAATACTATATTAGAAAATACTTAACACAAAAGAAATTAGTAAAAATTAGAGGAATGAACATGAGCTATACAGAAAAAAGTAAAATGGCAGGTATATATGAATAATAACATTAAATACTATATCAATAATAATATTAAATGTGAATGGATCAATAATCCAATAAATGATAGAGATTGTAACTGTGAGTAAAAACAGATCTAATTATATTCTGTCTATAGGAGACACATTAGTTTTAAAGGTACAGAAATTGAAAGTACAAGGGTAGAAAAAATATACATGCAAATAACCACAAGAAAGTTGAAGTAGTTCTACCAATATCAGACTAAATAGATTTTAAAACAAAAAAAGTTATTAGAGATAAAACTGGATATTTTATTATTGTAAAAGGCAATCCATCAGGAAAATATTATAGTTGTTATGTACCAAACAAAGCATCAAAATTTATGAATTAGAAACTGACAAAAATGGAGGGAAAATGGGCAGTTCAACAATAGTAGTTGGGAACTTCAATACAACCTTTCAATAACAGATAGAACACTTAGGTAGATCAACAAAGAAACAGAAAATGTAAAGAACATTATAAAACAAGTATACGTAGGGGCTCAGGACATGAGGATATACCTAGGTGGTACAGCATTTGCTTAGCATGTGCCAGGCCCTAGGTTTGATCCTTAGCACCAAAAACAAAAATAAAAAAGAGTAGGCTTAGCAGACAACTCCATCCAACAATAGCAGGATACATACTCTCAAGTCCCTTGAATATTCTTTAGGATAGACCATATGCTAAACCT